CCTTCTCGGTATGGTCTACTATCCCGAATTTGTAGTAATATGCATCATTTTTGCAACTTGAAAACAGGCGGCTGCTGTTTCTCAGCAGCGCTAGCTTCCTCTCCACTGTTCTTCTCAGCGTCCGGGGAAGTCATATCCATCACCAACACCTCTTCTTCCAGGATCTTAACTGCTTCCTAGTTTGGCGATGTAGCTCCAGTTACTACACCAGGTATTGGTAGAGGTCTCTTTACATTCCGGTATTGGTTTTCTTCTCCTATTCGTTGCTGTACTGGCTGTTTCCTATCCTTTCTCTTCGGGCAGGAATTCCTACGATAACCCTCCATCTTACAAAGGAAATACATATTGTTGTTCCCTTAATAGGTTACAAGTGATCTAGTGAAAACAATACATAAATCTTATCATTGATAAGTATTTTTTTGGAAATGTTCGACGTTATTAACCCATGAACGCCCAGTGATCTATATGATGAGTATCTGTAACCCATTTATGAGTTACACCTACTCAATTATGGGTACCAGATACACATTAATGTTTAAAAAAAAATTACTAATTTAAAGAGTTAAGCAACTTTTCTTCAAAATGGGTATTATTTATCCATTAATGGGTACTTTCAAGTTAGCGTGTACTTACTATTGCTTGCATGCAGAGCCGGTTACGATTGCATTCTGCCGAGCGAACTGAGTGAGAATTTTGCAGAAAAAATATTTTTTTTTATTTTCTAGCTTTAAACATAAATTGACACATTTAAATTGGTATTAACATGGATAAAAGCATGTAACACATAAACGTTTGCATCATGGAAATACTCTACAACTGCTGTGGCCACCCCAACTGATTCAAATTACTCAGCTAAACAATATCTCACTCGGCTATTTCTAGACCAACATGAAATAGGCGGACAACCAAACGTAAACAATGGCTTTAATCGCAAATTTCTGGAGAATCAAAATATACCCGCACAAACTAACAATACAATTCGATAAATGAAGTTTTCTCTTTCAGATGGTGGTGTTAGATTGCGTGGGTGTGTTTTGATTCTCGAGAAAGTTACGATTAAAGCCATTGCTTACGTTTGGTTGTTCCGCCTATTTCAATTGTTGGTCTGGATTTAAATCGATAGCGTTCGGTTTTAACACTCCGAATACGGTGGGTAAAAAACTTTACGCCGACTACGAAGCCTCCGAAAAACGTTTAACGGCAAGTTTGCAATGGCATAACTTAGCCATTTCTTAATGAATTTCAAAAATTGTGGTACGTTTAGAATTCCTAGGGTTTGTAGATGATTTTGATTGCAAAAAGATTGAAAAAAGAGTCGTCTATTTTTTTTTTTAAAGCGAAAAGAGTTGTAACATGTTTTTTTGAAAAGTGTGTTTGTAGGGTTTTGCAAGTGGCGCAAGCTCTGTAATTTAGATTAATGGGCACAAATGTTCACAATTAGTAAGTCCAAAACATCCGTAAAAGAGGTCAATCAATGAAACTGATCCTAGAGCTCCCCAGTTTTTTTTTCCAAAAACTACACTGAAACCTCCGTTTACGAAGTCTTTTTCTACGCAGTATTCAATTTACGTCCCTCTTTCTACGAAGTAAATCCCAAATAACGTGTTTTTTTGTGATTTTGGGAAACTGGGATATACTGTGAAATACCCTACAATATGGGTATTGTTGGAATCGGAGTGACGTGTAGGGACCGGAAATCGATGTCTGACGCCATTTTGAAATCCAAGATGGCGGCTTCCGGTTGCATAAAAACTTGGAAATTCTGTCAAATACCCCACAATAAAGGTATTTTTGGAATCGGAGTGACGTGTAGGGACTGAAAATCGATATCTGACGCCATTTTGAAATTCAAGATGGTGGCTTCCAGTAACATAATAGTTTCGAAATTCTGTCAAATACCCCACAATATGGGTATTTTTGGAATCGGAGTGACGTGCAGGGACCGAAAATCAATGTTTGACGCCATTTTGAAATCCAAGATGGCGGCTTCCGGTTACAGAACAACTTGGACATTCTGCCAAATACCCCACAATATGGGTATTGTTGGAATCGGAGTGACGTGTATGGACCGGATATCGATGTCTGATGCCATTTTGAAATCCAAGATGGTGGCTTCCGGTAACAGGAAAACATGGAAATTCTATCAAATACCCCACAATATGGGTATTTTTGGAATTGAAGTGACGTGTAGGGACCGGAAATCGATATCTGACGCCATTTTGAAATTCCGGTGACAGAAAAACTTCGAAATTCTATCAAATACCCCACAATATGGGTATTTTTGGAATCGGAGTGACGTGTAAGAACCGGAAATTCATGTATGACGCCATTTTGAAATCCAAGATGGCGGCTTCCGGTTATATAAAAACAGAAAAATAATGTTAAATAACCAACAATATGGATATCTTAAGAATCAGGGTAACGTTAAGGGACCGGAAATCGATGTCTGACGCCATTTTGAAATCCAATATGGCGGCTTCCGGTTACAGGAAAACAGAAAAATACCGTTAAATACACCACAATATGGATATTTTTGGAATCGGAGTGACCTGTGAGAACCGAGAATCCATGTCTGACGCCATTTAGAAATCCAAGATGTTGACATCCGGTTACAGAAACACTGAGAAATACTGTCAAATACCCCACAATATGGGTTTTTTGGAATCGGGGGGACTTATTAGGACTGAAAACCCATGTCTGACACCATTGCGAAATTCAATATGGCGACTTCCGCTTACATATAGACATAAAAATAATGTTAAATAACCTACAATATGGGTATCTTAAGAATCGGGGTGACGTGGTGGTATTTGCTAATTTGTCTGTAACCGGAAGCCGCCATCTTGGATTTCGAAATGGCTTCAGACATAAATTTTCGATTTTCACACGTCACTCCAATTCCAAAAATACCCATATTGTGGAGTATATGACAGAATTTCCAAGCTTTTCTGTTACCGGAAGCCGCTATTTTGGATTTCAAAATGGCGTCAGACATTGATATCCGGTCCCTAAACGTCACTCCAATTCCAAAAATACCCATATTGTGGGGTATATGACAGAATTTTCAAGCTTCTTTGTTAACGGAAGCCACTATTTTGGATTTCAAAATGGCGTCAGACATTGATTTCCGGTCCCTAAACGTCACTCCGATTTCAAAAATATGAGGTAAAATGTGGGGTATTTGGCAGAATTTCCAAGTTTTTCTGTAACTGGAAGACGCCATCTTGGATTTCAAAATGGTGTCAGACATTGATTTCCGGTCTCTACACGTCACTCCGATTCCAACAATACCCATATTGTGGGGTATTTCACAGTATATCACAGTTTCCCAAAATCACAAAAAAAAATACGTTGTTTGGGATTTTCTTCTTTAACAAAAACCTCGTTATTTGGGATTTACTTCGTAAAAAGAGGGACGTAAATTGAATACTGCGTAAAAAAAGACTTCGTAAACGGAGGTTTCAGTGTATCACAGTTCCTAATGTTTTTGGAAAAAAAAACTGGGGAGCTCTAGGATCAGTTTCATTGATTGACCTCTTTTACGGATGTTTTGGACTTACCAGAGGATGGCCCCATGGCCATTTGGGTCCATGTTTATGTCATTACCCCAAATTCTTTCTTATATCGCAGTTCCACATGCTTTCGAAAAAACCGTAGAACTCTAGGATCAGTTTCAATGTTTTAGATCTTGCGGAGGACGGTCCCATGGCTTTCTAGGTACATATTTATGTCACGACCGCAAATTAATTTATAAATGACAGTTCCAAGTGTTTTCGAAAATAACCGTGGAGCTCTAGGATCAGTTCCATACATTGATCACTTTTACGGATTTTTCGGATCTTCCGGAGGACGGTCCGATGGCCATCTGGGATCATGTTTATTTCAAGACCGCAAATTCATTCTAATATCACAGTTCCTAACGTTTTCAAGAAAACCACGGAGCTCAAGGATCAGTTTCGTGAATTTTGCACTTTCACTAATGTTTCGGATCTTCCGGAGGACAGTCTCATGGCCATCAAGGTTCTTGTATATGTCACAACCCCAAATTGCTTCTATAAACACAGTTCCTTATGTAAAAAAAAAAAATGCGGAGCTATAGGATCAGGATCGTGGATTTACTACTTTTACAGATGTTCCGGATCTTCCGCTGGACGGTCCGATGGCCATCTGGGTCCATGTCCCAAATTCATTCTTATATCACAGATCCTAATGTTAAAAAAACGCGGAGCTCTAGGATCAGTTTCATGGATCGTCCACTTTTACGGATGTTCCGGATCTTCCGGAGGACGGTCCCATGGCCATCCAGGTACATGTTTATGTCACGACCCAAATATTTTTTATATCACAGTTCCTTGACCACTTTTACGGATGTTCCGGATTTTTTGAGGACCGTTCCGTTGTCTCCAGGATCCATATATAGGAACCATGACTGTTTTCTGACTAATGGTGAGCATTTGTGCCAATTAATCTAAATTACAGATCTTGCGCCACTTGCAAAACCCTACAAACACACTTAAAAAAAAAGTGTAACAACTCTTTTCGCTTTTAAAAAAAGTAGACGACTCTATTTTCAACCTTTTTGCAATCAAAATCATCTACAAACTCTAGGAATTCTAAAGGTACCTTCAATTTTTGAAATTCATTAAGAAATGGCTAAGTTATGCCATTGTAAACTTGCCGTTACAAGTTTTTCGGAGGCATCGTATGAGGAGGCATCGTATTCGGAGTGTTAACGCATGTAATCGCGTTCTGCCTCGGTATAGAAAATTGTTCGGCTGCTTTTCAGTTTATCCTTCATTCCTTCTACTACTGTCAGCATCGAGTCTACCTGCAGAACTTGGTTGGAAGAATTCACACTCGTTCGGCAATGTGTCTTTCGGTGAGGATGGCTATTTTGTTTCTGTGGTGCTCGCGCGAGTGATTGAATTTGCCCATGCTTGATTATAATCATATTTAGAAAAAAAACCAAACACCTTATTTATATTTCTCGCCCACTTCAGATGGATCCTCCCTAGACGGTGACGGTACACTGCCATGCTTGAACAAGCACTGCATTTTCGCAGCCAGCGAGATCCTCCACTCAATTGATGCCTCGGTAGAACCGTGTGACGATTTCTACGCATACTCGTGCAACCAATGGATCAAAAACAACCCTATCCCGGATGGTAAGTCCATGTGGGGAACGTTCGGTAAGTTGGAGCAACAGAATCAGTTGGTCGTCAAGAACGTTCTTGAGCGGCCGGAAGCGGAGTTCAAATCCAAGTCAGAAAAGAAGGCCAAGCTGTACTACCAGTCCTGTATGGATGAGGACGAAACCATGGAAAAGTTGGGGGCAGAACCACTTTTGAAACTGTTGAAAAATATCGGGGGTTGGAACATAACGGCTAATGCAACTGGGTTCGACGTGAAAAAATGGTCCTTGCAAAAGTCGCTTCAGGTATTGCAGATAAAGTACAACATGGGTGGGCTGTTTGGGTGGGCCGTTGGAGAGGACGATCGTAACTCTAGTAAACATATCATACAGGTATGTCTTTGAGGATGGTTTTATGATTTGATATAAGGCAATTACAAGGTGTACTACTCTTAAACTGACAGATTGACCAAGGTGGCTTGACGTTGCCCTCACGTGACAACTATTTGAACAAGACGGCAAACGCAAAGATTCTAACGGCCTATCTGGACTACATGACAAAGGTGTCGGTTCTTTTGGGAGCCAATGAAGCTGATGCCCGGCGACAGATGACGGATGTTATCGATTTCGAAACCATGCTGGCAAATATCACAACACCGCAGGACATGCGGCGGGACGAGGAGGAAATGTACCACCTGATGCCAATTACAACGCTGCAGGAGAAAGCACCCTTCATCGCATGGCGTGATCACTTTGACGAGGCATTCCGGCTGGTAAAGCGAAAGATTTCCGAAAAGGAAAATGTAGTCGTCTATGCTCCGGAATATCTGGAGAAATTGAATGCTCTAGTTGTGGAATACAATTCAACTGATGATAAAAAGATGTAAGTACTGATTTACTTGCTATTGGGTGAGCTCATTTTCAAATTGAAAAAAAAAATCAAGAATAATTGTTTTCAACGAGGAATTTTTGAAATTATGCATACTGAGTTGGAAAATGTGCTCGTCCCATGAAAGCATTAATTAATTACCGTTTATATTGAGATTTGGTTTTGTCCACAGCATACTGAACAATTATTTAGTATGGCAAACGGTTCGCACTCTGACTTCTTGCTTATCGAAAGCATTTCGTGATGCATATAAAGGTCTTCGGAAGGCGCTGATCGGATCCGATGGAGGCGAAGAACCTTGGAGGTATTGTGTGAGTGATACTACCAATGTGCTCGGATTTGCTATCGGGGCCATGTTTGTTCGAGAAGTGTTTCATGGTGAATCGAAGAGCAGGGCGGAGGAAATGATCAACGAAGTCCGAACGGCGTTCAAAGATAATCTTAAGAATCTCGCTTGGATGGACAATGAAACCAGAAAGCTGGCAAACGAGAAGGCTGATAAAATTTCTGACATGATAGGATTTCCGGACTACATTTTGAATCCGGTAGAGTTGGACAAAAAATACCAAGATTTGAATATAGATCCAAAGGCATATTTTGACAACAATATAAATTTTAATATATATAGCTTGAAGAAAAATTTGGAGAAACTAGATCAACCGGTTGACAAAAGTCGTTGGGGTATGACTCCTCCTACTGTGAATGCTTATTACACTCCCACCAAGAATCAGATAGTTTTCCCTGCAGGGATTTTGCAACTTCCTTTCTTTGGAATGCAGAATCCAAAGAGCTTAAATTACGGAGGTATGGGTGTGGTGATGGGTCATGAGCTAACCCATGCATTTGATGACCAAGGTAGAGAGTACGATAAATTCGGAAACCTCCATCAGTGGTGGAATAACAAAACTATCGATACATTTAAGAAGCAGACGGAATGTTTCAATAAACAATACAGCTCCTATAAAGTGAACGGAAAGAGTCTGAACGGGAAGCAAACTATGGGAGAGAACATTGCAGATAATGGTGGATTAAAGGCCGCTTTCCATGCTTACATTAAGAATGAGAAATTCAGCACCTCGGACACCGATACCCTACCCCTTCCAGGGTTGAACCTAACTCATCGTCAGCTATTCTTCGTCTCATTTGCCCAAGTTTGGTGCTCGACTGTTACCGACGAAACGACCACACTGCAGATAGAGAAGGATCCACACTCTCCTCCGATGTATCGGGTGATTGGGTCATTGTCGAATCTGAAAGAATTTTCCGATACTTTCACATGTCGACCGGGCTCCAGAATGAATCCAACAAGCAAGTGCGAGGTATGGTAAAAGACTGTTAGGAAGGTATGTTGAATGTATGTTCAAGAAGAAAGCTCAAAGCTGATACAAAGTTTTGGAGTGCAGAGCATGATGTCGCTATGTGGGTCTTGTTTAACACTATCATAAATTCAATTATTTATTACCTCATTCCAATAGGAAACATACTTTTTATCCTAGATATTCCAAAATGAAAATGGCCCTGGAAAGTCGATCATTAGCTCAAAATCCTGCTGCTGGTAGTGTAGATTTTCAGTTTTCTTTTTCAGTAAAGACTCTGTTCCCTAGTCAGCCATTGTAACAAAATGAAATAATAAAAAATGATTATGATTTTTTTAATTCAAATATCAATGAATCAAAAAAGCGATGCCAAAACAAAAACCTTGAGAAATAATGTAGAAAAGAATTTTACTCTCTGTCCTAATGTATTACCGATCTAGAAAATAAAGTGAATATTGTGCTATTTGAAAAAAATAAACTTATAAGTGTAAAAATTGCAAAGTTATTGAATGTGATTAACTAAACAAACAACCAACTGATATGATTAAATGATGGAGCAAAGAGTAAAGTGCAGACCATTTGTTCGTATATCAGCAGTTAAGTATATTAGGTGACCAAAAAGAACACGAAAATAAAATTTTCTGTAACCGTCAGGATTTTATGTCAACGGCTTTCGTTTCCAAAACAGTGTACTATTGCGTTCCTTATAAAAAAACTTAGGTGATAAGCTTTGATGATGTGTACTTTTATAATTTCTTATTTATTTGACCACAGAAATAGAAAGCACAATTCCACACAACTTGAGAATGAATAAAACAATTAAATTGATACATGATGTGTTGAAGGCTTTTTATTATGAATATTCGAAATCATCTTTTGCTCAGGACTTGTGACTCATACATGGTGATATTTTTGGGGGTTTGGTAATGATGACAGAACAACTTTTTTTAAATTTAAGATTTATGTGTAAGGAAATGATTGTTCGAAAAGGGTGAAACTCATAAATCCCGAACGAAAGAATCAATGGCCAGAGTTGATAGCAGGCATGGAAATCATTAACATTCATTTCGTGTATTAATTTAAATTCATTTGCGTCTAACTTATTTCAACAACAGAATTTCGTAAAATGATGTATTAAGCTACAAATCAAAACTGTATCACTTATGTATGATGAAGAAGAGTTAACAGAGCCCACCATTGTTTTTCAGTGAATGTAAATTACATTCACTGAAAAAAATAACAAGTTCTACCCGGTCTAGTTGAAAGTTGAAATTTGAAACACTTGATCATTGGTAAAGTTGTAGTTGAGTTGATTTCAAGCTAATTTGTTAAAGACACATTTTTTATCTCTTACCGATCTCATTTAAACGAGGAACGAGGACACCAAACACCTAAAACTAAATCAAAAGCTCTTTGACTTTTGTGTTGCAAAATTCCCAGCATGCACCACAGTGCATTGTGGTAAATCTATTAAATAGAAAACTGATCACACCATTCGTAATTAGAGGTGAACATAATCAGAAGTTAATTTGTACCTAAAATGTTTGAAATACGTGAGATGAATAATGTCTTTATGTAGAGCAAGTTTTCTTCTCATCTTGCTATCAAATATACCGTGAACTATCCGTATAACGGTCCCTTTACAATCCTCTTTGCCATACAATGTCCTCAATCCACGGTACGAACTTCTGCAGTTTTATAAATCTTATCTTCGAGCAAGTGCTGTGAACCACGATTCCAACCAAATGATAGTAATCATTCTCTATCATAATTGATGGCGCCAGCAACTGATTGAAACACTTCATCGAATCCATTAGTGGTTTCCTCGAACCGTTCATCGCCGAGTAGAGGAATATTTTGCCCAAATCCAACTCTCCTCTGCTCCACAGGCAAACAAACTGACTACTGGAAATTCTGAAATAAAATCAATAGCTAAGTTCTGCTAGGAAATGCTTAACATATGTACAAAAGAATTGCCATACGATACGTTTCGTTTCAGCTCAATTAGTGCAAGGTTGTTTTCGGTCGGATTCTGAGCAAAGGCTGGATGTTGGTGAATATTCTCTATTTCGTACTGCAGTGCTTGACCTTCCATTTCGACAATAATGAATTGCTTTCCTTCTGAATAGTGTGAGTTGGACGGGGGGAGTAGAAATAAAATATTCGATCTATTATTTTCTTCTGGCCACGATAGTGCCAACTGCTGTTCATCTCGAACAAATAATCGTATATCACATTGCAGGCTTACCTGTGTTGGGAGTATGCGAGGTTGGATGTGAGCGACAGTCGGCTCTTGCGAGGAGAAAGCGCTCACTTATCAATACGGCGAAACAATCAATCACACGCATGAATGGGGAATCCATTGAAACGTACGCCAAATAGGACAGCTCTCGGGATTCTCTTTCCGAACTGTTTTGGTGGTATTCGACACATTCTAGACAAATGGAACGAGAATGAAAAATTTGACATTTGCTATTGATCCCAACAAATGAGCGGAAAGCAGATGATTTATTTCCATACTTTTATCACTAATGCTGCTCCTTGTCGTCGTTGTCGTCGTCATTGTGGAATTGGACGCCGACATAAATTCCATTTCCCCATTATCTGAGGAAGGGTCAATTGCTACGAATCGATCCTTGTTTGCTACCCTCTCTATCCATTCTACATACTGAGGAATGTTGACAAAACCGGCTAGGCTCTCCGGATTGCACATAGTAACTGATGAATCCTTCAATCCAGTAAAGGAAATTATTCCTCGAGCTATCCAAGTTCCATTTACGTTCACGGCGAAAGCCCCACCACTATCCCCGTTACATACGTTGGTACCTAGAAAGAATCGATCACCATTGACATCTAGAGTAAAATTAATTCAATTATCTTCTCACGGTTAGTCAGACCAGCGCAGAACATTCCATCGAAGATCACCCGCGAGAACAGATCACGGTCACTTTCAAGGCATTCCAGATAACCAACCATTGGCATCCTGGCTGACTTCAGCCTATCAGCCAACACATCATACTCCGTTAGGCCCCAGCCTGACACAATTCCATCGAGATCTTCTCCCCGGCCATACTTTTGCACTTCCCACAGACATATCGGCTGAACGTAGTCACCAAACTCTACTATCGTTCTCAAAAATAGCAAAGCGATGTCGTGTTTGTAGGACATTCCAGTGTAGTTATCGTGTCGTTGAATCCTTTCCACTCGATGCTCTTGTGTATTGCGTGTCATACTCAAAAGCTCATACAATCCCAGCCGTACCGAGAGTACATTGGGGACAACTTGATAACCATTCGGTGCCGTAACGCAATGGGCTGCGGTTATGACGATGCGATCGCTAGCAATAAAACCACCGCAAATGTATTCGCTTCCGAGGCCTTTCGTTCGATGAAGGGAGGCATGCCACGGAAATTCTCCGGGCCAGGTCGATTGACCAGCCGTGATAACACCAATCGCACTGATCGGACGTTGGCCACAAGCGTATCGATGCTGGTCGGATTTCACTTGGATTGATAACACTGGCGGAAGTACAAATGGTAACAGAATTGACAAAAGGCCAACAAATGTTATAGCCATGATTACCGGTTAGCACTGAACTTGGAAACCGTACGTGACGTTCTGACTTGTTTGTTCAAGGATCTACGCATGTGGATGTGTGTGAGTTGATAGCAGCTCATTGATAAAGATGCACGTTTGTTATTGTTAGATTAGTTTTCCAAACTCTTGACGATGGTTGCACGATCGATCATCACGCAATGCATTTCTTCGACTGTTCATTAGACCGGTACAAAGGAATATTTTTGCTTTTGTCATACTTTGGATTTTAGCAAGGAGGGAACAATAAAAAGCAAATTAAAACATTCATAAATAGTTATTCAAGAGTTGGAAGGAAATGCTATAATAATATAAACACGAAGCTTTAGTGCAACAATTTATTAGCTAGATAAAGTTCTGAAGAGGATAGAATGATAGTTCGGTAAGAGTACGGTATTGTTAAAATTGAACAGCAGTTAAAATCAAACGAAGGGCCGTTAATGCGACAATATTTATCAAATACGTACTGCTTTACCTAGCTCACTTGATGGGTGAGGTGATTTGAGGTATTTCGTAAAATCCATATGCAAAAGAGTGTGCCGTACTCTAAAAGAACTATCAATATATCCTCTTCAGAATTTTCTCTAGCTAATAAATTATCGCGCTAAAGCTTCATGTTGATCTTAGTATAGCACTTCCTCCCAACTCTGTAATGGCGAACGTATAAAGTTACGAAAGTATATTACAATTATTGTTTGATACGCTGAGATCTACATGCATGCTTCCCACACGTGGTTTGTGACTTCGAAGATTGCATATATTGAATTATATAAGAAATAATTCTATGTAAAAGCATTTAAAACCAAAACAAATAATTCAACTCAGCTAGAATATTTAACTGATGTCAACATCTAAAAAAGTTAATACTCGACTATATTACTACAAGACACTGAAGAAGTCTGCACAGTGTAGACGAAATACGCGAATACGTCAAGGATATTAAAGCAGTAGGAATAAATAGAAATTACTAATTTTTCTCTTTTTACAGGTATTCCGTCAAGACACAGTCATTCAGCAAGATCTAAAATAGGTAATACGTTCACAGAAACAGATTTCAAAATAACTTCAGCAAACCATAAATAAAACTAAAAATGCCATGGTTTAAACATTAAAAAAAAATCCTGTGCAGCAATTTCTGTGGCTGTAACGAAAACTTGTGAAGCATCAATATTCACCATCAAATTGAAAACATAATTAGATTTCGGTTTACGATTAGTAAATATCAAAATAGTTTTTTTTTTTTTCATTTTGCTGTACTTTTCGAACATGATTGGAAAATTTAGTGATCTTTGCTCTCATTCATGTCTAAAGGAGTTTTAATATTTAAATATAACGACCAAAATGAGAGAAACCTAAGTTCTTAAAACCAAGAACACCACAATATTAAATTTAGTTTTCGATTTGATTTCAGACTCTGCTCAGAGACAAGGTCCTCACCCAAGGCAGACCTCTTTCATGTTGGATTTTGAGAAGGGTTTTGTACTTTCGGTAAATTCAATTAATAGAGACTTTATACCGACAAGTATCAAATGAAGGAATATAGGTAATTTTGAATCTAGTTCGTATATTTGGAAGGCTCAATCGTGGTAACTTTGCGGAGCCGATAATTCTTTGTTCATTGTTTGTAACAAAATTAACATATTTCTTAGGTCGCATACTCGTGGCTTACCCGAGGTTAGAGAGGTACATTGATGAAGGATTGGACCAGGAGAGGAGCTTGGGGTGAGATTTCGTTATCTCATCAGAGCGTTATCACCAGTATGAATGGTAGTGCGGTTCTAGATTCGTCAAATATGGTCAATCTCAAGTGACCGAGCAAATACATCGACCCTCTCCGATTTGAACCAGAATTGATAGGTCCACTTATTTTAGGCCAAACCTAAAAAAAAAAAAACAAACGCCAAAGTGTTCAGCACACTTCTTTATATTCGGAGTGATTTGAAATTTGGGCGTAAATGCTTTTGTAAACAAAGACGTCAATTACCGATTTATTGATTGATCAATCTTTTAAACAAACTATACCAAATAATAAAGGAATCGTTTATCTACCTCATAGCGTTATTAGTTTTCGAGCTGTGAGTGTGAGTTATTAGTGAGCTTTTATTCGCGGGAAATCAGTTATTGACGTGTTTGTTTACAAATGCAATTACGCCCAAATCTCAAACAACTCCGGATTTAATAATCATTTGACGTGAAAATCTGATATGTTTCTTTTATAATATATTTATGTTTCAAGATTATTCTTGTATATTAGTCAAAACAATCCAATCTGTAAGAAAGCTGACAACCTGATCCTTCTACCTTTAAGTACTACCAAATGCAGGGATCAAATTTTTTTCCACGGTGTTATCAAAATGCGGTTTTAACAATTATTGATTTGAACGCACCAATAAATCTAAAAAAAAAAAAATAACAGCCATGTAGAAGGAAAAACATTTTTGTTAAACCAACAAAAAATATTGTAATAATTACTTTTCAGAAAAAATACTTACATGTATACTGCAAGAAAATTATGCAGATTTTGGCGTAGTATATTTTATACATAACACGGTGTCACTGATTGAAAAACATCATGTTGTGTAAGTGCGTTTGAGAGTGACACCACGTTCTAAATCTCTGTTTGTTCAAATTTTAATTTTTTCGCGAAAATTTCGATTGAAAAATTATAAAAGTTACGTCTTTATATAGACCTTCTAGTGCGCATTCTCAAATTAGTTACGATTCCCAGAAATTAACAGTGTTTTAACTAAAATATTTCATAAAAATATTGTTCCATCGCATAAATGCACTGAAGTGGCTAGTGGTGATATGATGATGCGTGCCAGGTCTAGCCGAAACAAAAGATTTGCCACGGATGAGTGTCTGACATGCAATACTGAAATCAAATATTATAAATTAACAATATGTTTCACTTCACACTCCACTATGTCATAGCAAGAAGAACGGTCAACTTGTTTCACGCTCCGTTGTTTTGGAAGTTTCCTCGCAATTCGCTCGTGTATATTATTAGTTTATTTTCTCGTTTAGTGATTCCTGACATAGTTCCCGATAAATTAATCTGAAACTGAGTTTTTTTTTTTAGAAGAAAGTGTGGTTTTCGGCATTATCGGAAAAAAAGATTAATCGGTGCGATTGGCAATTCGAAAACCGATTCTCGCGCAACACGAGAAAAGGCCTTTCATTGTTGATCGATTCTCTTCATCGATTTTCGATTCATTCGATTCTCTTCATCGATTGCAGATATCTGTTCATTTCTTCCTACTCCACGGTTGATTATGGGAGATTTTAATTCTTACGGTACAGGCTGGGGGGAACTATATGAATGGAAGTAAATTAGACCTCACACTTTGCTCTAACTCATTATCGTTGGATTGCACGTGGAATGTGATCCAGGATCTCCACGGTAGTGATCACTTGCCGATCAAAATGTCGATTGCCAGTGGGTTCAATCCGTCGGAATCCGTTAACGTCGCATACGATCTCACTCGTAATATCGATTGGATTCCACCGTTGGAGGAATATAATTTCCTCTCGAATCTGATCTTGGACAGCGCGCTTCAAGCTCAAACTCGGCCGGTTCTAGGAACGTCTTTCCGTAGGAAACCTCCTTCCGCTTGGTGGGACCAGCAATGCACTGAGGTTTATCGTAAGTCCGACGCGTTTAAGCTTTTCCGGAAACGTGGAACACCCGTACATTTCGAAGCGTATTCGGCTCTTGAACGTGAACTCAAGAGCCTCATCAAAGCCAAGAAACACGGAAACTGGCGGCAATTCGTGGACGGATTATCGCGCGAAACGTCGATGAATACCGTGCGGGACCGAAATCCATACACCTAAGCACGAGAGAATCATTAACGGTCAATACTAAATAATGCTATCACATTATGCTCTGTATCACATCTTTTTCCTTTACATTTATCTTTATTTTTCCAATATTTGCAAACACCAGGTCTTAAAATTACCTTCAATTATTAGAAAAAAGGATTTAAATTGCACATATCTTGAATCAAAATCCGTACAGCGTTTTACGATTGAATCAAAATCCGTACAGTTTTGAATCGAAATCCGTACACTGTGTTGAGGATGAATCAAAATCCGTACAGTCATGAATCAAAATCCGTACATGAATGTAAATCGATCCAACTCAATGAAAAAAAAAAACGTGTTGCTATCTTGAATAAAGTATTTTTTTTTGTAGTTGCTTGGCTAAGAGTCCAAAACAGCTATATTCGTTTAAATACACTAGTTTACAGCATATTTGAACTTTGTACGCTGATGGTCATTTCCCATGTAAAATCGTGCGCTGAATCTAAAAATATAGTCAAAAAAAATCTCGGTAGGATAGTTTTGGAGATATAGGGGTAAGAGAGGCATAGTGAACAGGTGGGGCATAGTGAGCATCACGCGTGCTCCAGCTTGGACTTCCGGCCGTTCAGAACAAATTTGTTGGCTGTAGGATCAATATCTTAAGGATATTGATCCTACTACCAGTTGATTTGTTTCATGCAGTTGGAGATCCAGAGCCAAAGTACGGGATGCTCACTATGCCCCGCCTGTTCACTATGCCCCTCCTTCCCATGGCTAAAAAATGAAATCTCACGTTAAAAAAACTAAAACACAAATATCTCTGGCTGCAATGAAGTAATATTAATTATTTTAACGCCAAATTAAACGTGATAAAATTTTATTTCGATCGTTATAACACTATTTTTCCGTGAGAGTAATGGTAGAACCACCATAAACATTTTAATTAACATTGCTTAAAAACTTAGCAGAAATTCAATTTTTCTTAGGAAAACTTAAAAAACAAACTATTAACTAACAACAATACCATCAATCTCACTGACAATTGACGTTCAATTGATCGAACGAAAAAATTTCTTACCTCTAATTTAGCGTTAAAATAATTGATATAATCTCATTACAACCGGAGATATTTGTATTATAGTAATCAAACTTGTTTAAAGTGAATTTTCATTTTTAG